AGGGCGGCTAGGAGCTGGAACCAACTTCCAAGGGAAGTGGTGCTGGCCCCTACCCTGGGGGTCTTTAAGAAGAGGCTGGATGCCTACCTGGCTGGACTCATTTGAGTCCCGTTTTTGTTTTGGGGTTTTGTTGTTCTCCCGCCCTGGCGGGGGGTCGGGCTAGAAGATCTGCTAGGTCCCTTCCGACCCTAAATCTATGAAACTATGAAACTATGAAAACATTCCTTGTAACTGAGCATGTTTTACTGATAATGTTGTACAGCATTTTGCAGGATCTCTGGAGGAGTAAGACTCAAAAGGGGTAGATTGTTGAAGAATTAAAACTATTAATAAGAATAATATCCAACACAAATACAAAGGAGGTTTCAAATCCAGGTACACGTTAAGTTTAAACCAAAAGATTTCAAGATCAGCTGTACAAAGCTGACACAAACAAAGGGAACTGCTCTCTTCTTGCACCTTTTAATGCATCTTGAAGACTTGTTCTGACAAACAAAAGAGCACCACTGGAGTGTAGAGGTGGCTGACAAATGTTATTTTTCTAGAGAACACAAAGGCTATTGCTAAGGAAAATACCAGTGACATCCAGCAATGAAAACAATGTTTCCTCAGCAGCAACAGCAGCCTAGCAGGAATGCAGTTGCCAGAGATGTATGTGCATTTCCCCGAGTACTGTCTCCTAGCAAGACCCTCCTACAACATGGCTGCTGCCCTAATTACACGTCTCTCCTCAGCCTAGTGAATAACAAGTGTTCAGGACAGGACATTGGCTTAGAAAATGGACATGCAGGGCTGGCTTGAACTCTGACAGCCTGAATGAGGGACTGTTAAAAGTCCTCAGAGAGATTTTCAGTGTCATCTCGATCCAGGCACAGCAACATCCCTCAACAGGAGGAGAGATTTTAAACACTGTTTTAGAATTCAAAATAGGGAAGTGTCTCTCTAATATAGGCATGAGTTAGAAATTAGCAAGAGGAAAAAATCATCAAAATGAGGGATGCAAGAAAAGCCCAGCAGGAAATGTCTCTGTTGCAAAAATGTACTGCATGTGTAACTTGCTAAATGCCTTCTTTCTGTGGCTTTAGTTTCAAGGCACAACGCTTCTGAGGTTTGTGCTGCTGCCCACACTATTTCCACGTGTAGCCAAGGGGAACAGGGACCCCAAATTTGGTGCATTCAACGTAATGAATAAAGGTTTAAATGGATGACTTCAGTGGTACTGGGACACAGGTTACATCTTTATTTTACATTAAACAAATTGGCATCATTTCACAGGTTCCTTTTGAAGTGTTGTTCATAAAACGTGGCACTCGTCCAATGTGAATGAAGTCAGAGGACAGTCTCTCATTAATCTTTACACTGGCTAAGCTAAATTGTGCATTTGTTGATGCTTTGGGGGACTCTCATTTTTCTTGTCATCTAATCTGAAAAAAAAATTAACTCAATCTCAGGTACTGCTACTGAATAAAAATAATTTGAGTTTTGTTCATTTTAGAAACTTTTGGCTTTGATGAGATAGCAAAAATAACTCTTCCCCCTCTTTACTCTCATGGTTTCACGAGTACCAAAGTTCATAGTTTAAACTGCTGATGTGACCTTCAAAATACAGGCCACTTGTGTACCTTGCATTTCACTGGCATAAGCTAAGCAATGTATAACTATACTCAGCTCTTTTAGTTAAGAGATTATTGGTTGGCAGTAGCAGTCTGGGTTATTTTCTAACAGCAATTATATTACTGACAGCAGGAAATTGTCAACAGTGAATCACTTCTCTAGAGGAAATTTACTTTTTAATACAAATGTCTTTGGGTGGTTTAATTCAGCTCTGAATGATTCAACTTTGTTCTTTGTTGTCCTGGTTTTACCAAAGAATCCTACAAAAAAGTTAGGTGCTACAGCTAGGATGATGACATGCTACAGCTAAAAGAGACAAAAGAATATTTAAGGATCTACCAGATATCTGTACATAAGATACCAGGCCACAAAAGCATGGGAATCCTTATAAACCAATATGTTTATAAAATTTTAGGCCCTGCTTATCCACAAGTTTTAAGAAAGTTTGTAATCTATTAGGAATGTTGTTGGCTATTTTAACATTCAGTCAGTAACCACAGCTGGGAGCAACATTTTCCCATGCCAGGTTTGTGAGCTGCACATGTTGTCTTCCCATGACTGGTTCAGTGAAGTTTTTTGCAGCAGAGGAACCCTCCCGAGTTGTGCTTATGTAATTGATCTGCTCAATTCATGTCTTTCCAGCTTTCTGTACTGAAGGACACCCACGCATGTATTTAGTCTTAGGGGCCATTGGTGCTTGCCTGTCCTCTGACCACCCAGTGCTCCACTGAGGCAT